CGAAAGTGCTGTTTCGGGAGGGGTTTCCTGTTCAACACAAAACAAACTGTTGTTTTTTAACAGCATTACTGTAGGTGATTGTGTTGTAATATTACAGGGGATTTTTAACAGTGTGTGCCGAATTTTCTCAAAGACAATGCGCGTCTTGTAGCAAAAATTTTTTTTGTGCAGTGCGATTTTGATAAGTCACAGCGTGTCTCAGTTGTCTCAAAGACACACAGTGAAGTAAAAAACCTACAGAATTCGAAGTTTTGCCTTTTTGGGGGTTCCGACGAAGGGGGCCCCTATTGCTGGGGACGGCTCAGAATTTTTCTTCTAGGGCCCCCCCCAAATGGCCTTTTCGCTCCCGCCATATTAATCCTTTTCAAAAACGAAAAAAAGTGCAGAAAATCAAAAAAAATTTATCGTGGAAATTTTTTGTAAACGACTAAAACATAAATTTGCAACAATCAAGCACCCTTATCCGTTCACATTTTCCAGAAACGTTACGAAGAAAAAATGTGCCACTCCTCAAAACTAAACCTCCTGCCTCATCAAAGTGACAAGAAATCGTCTTCTTCTGAGAAAGGGTTAAAACATGAAAAAAGTCTCCATGACAACATCTCACTGCCATCGTACCAACTGTCAAAAATTTTAAAATCCCTGATAAAAAGAAATAAAACGCCGTAAAAACGAAAAAAGCCAATGTTTACTCATTGCACAGTGACAAGACATTTAAACATCATTCAAATCTGTCATTAGTAAAAGGTTCGCAGCAGAAAAGACAGAACTCCGCACCTCGGTAAAGTGCGTTGAAACCCTGTTTCGGCAACGCAGTTAAAACAAGGAATACCCCAGTCAAAGGCAGTTGCATCTCAGTCCCCCTGCACTTAGGTAAAGCGCGTTGAAACTCTGTTTCAGTAACGCAGTTAAGACGAGGTGTAGCCCTGTATAAGCCCGTTGCAACTCCGTTCCCCACACCTCAGAAAAGCCCGTTGATACTCTGTTTCGGCAACGCAGTTGCAACGGGGAATAGCCCAGTAAAAGCCTGTTGCAACTCCGTTACTCAACACCTCGGGAAAGTGCGTTGAAACTCTGTTTCGGCAACGCAGTTGCAACGAGGAATAGCCCAGTAAAAGCCTGTTGCAACTCCGTTACCCCGCACCTCAGTAAAGCGCGTTGAAACTATGTTTCGGCAACGCAGTTAAAACGGAGAAAAGGTCGTGGCAACCCCGTGCAACTGCGTTGTAACTGCGTTTAAGTCGACATAACACAGTTTCTACGCACTTACAACGGAGTTGCAACAGAGAAAAGTTCACACTAAATTCTTATGGACTTTTTAAATGCATAATGACGCATAATTTATGCATAGTTATGCATGCGCAGAAACGTCCATAAGGTATGAATAAAAATTTTGCATCATTGTGTACATTTTATGCACTTTCCTGCATAAAATGTACACAGTGATGCATAATTTTATACATAACGTATGGACGTATCTGTGCATGCATAACTATGCATAAAAAAGTCCATAAGAATTTAGTGTGTTTGTAACAGCTTTCGTCTGGGGCAATAAAGGCAGTCGTTTACTCGCATCGTCCAAGTTGTTTCTACAGGTTCTCGCTTCATGGGGAGTCGATTGGCGCACAGAGCAAGACGGTAGGACGCCCAGAAAGGTGTCAAATAGGCCCTAAAAGTTAAAAAAAAGCACAAATTTTGAACGTTTTTTTAAATTGACCGCCCCTGGAAAATAGGCCCTCGTCGGCCCTCGTTCACTCGCATCGTCCAAGGTGCTTCCAGGGGTCCTCAACGTGTGCACACTAAATTCTTATGGACTTTTTAAATGCATAATGACGCATAATTTATGCATAGTTATGCAAGCGCAGAAACGTCCATTAGGTATGAATAAAATTATGCATCATTGTGTACATTTTATGCACCTTCCTGCATAAAATGTACACAGTGATGCATAATTTTATACATAACAGGACGTATCTGTGCATGCACAACTATGCATAAAAAAGTCCATAAGAATTTAGTGTGTGGGGAATGGATTAGCGCATAGGATAAGACAATCTGACGACGAAAAAGTTGTCAAATCGGCCTACAAAGATGAAATACGGCATTTCCCCCCTCCATTTTTGCAATTTTTGACGCCTGGAAAATAGGCAATGCTCAAAGTCGGTATGCAGTATTTCTTAACTTATTATAGGTAACATAACAAACAATTTGGCGTTTCGCTTTCCTCTTTCCGATCAAAACTCGCAATACAGGACCAGTAAGTATAATTCACTGAAACTCATTACTTTGCTTAAAACTTTGAACGCGTTAAGTGACCCCTTACAATGGTCCAAAAAATTGAAAAAATGCGCAAAATTTTTGTTTTTGGCTTAACTTGAAGATTCCGTGCGGCGCTCCTCGATTTTGAAACTTTTTTTTTCCGTGGGCCACCCTTCCCCACGCACGTGTTACATGTAGGTTGTAGAGGAATCCGAAAGCTTCATATCCATGAACACTACTCACCCTCTTGATTCGAGCAATAAAAATGAGTCTTACCAGTCGAGCGCGGTGCAGCGAGCCGCGGTAAGGACGGTGTTAGGGGAGACGAGCGCACCGGCACAGTGGTGGCGCCGGTTGTATGAGGCGTTTCCGTATTTAAACAGCATCTGCGTGAAGGAGTACGGGCCAAAAAACGGGTCAAAAAAGGCATGGACATGGACAAGGAGCGGAAGGTCAGCATGTCGGAGACATATTCTCTCACCACTGGATGCAAAGGCCCCTTTGTTGCTCCGTGGTTGTGGTGGCAAGCATTTTCGGAGGTTAGTTCCGGCTTGACGTTGTAATTTGAGAATGAGTCGTATAGAAAGCAAAACTCAGAGTGGTACACCCTGCACACTGCAAATAAAAAAAGACATTATTTATAGATAAACCGTTGGTTGGCCTTGCATCGGTCAGAAGCGCCGCAATCTTGAAAGAGGTTGACGCAGCACCAAGAACTCACTGCCTCTGGCCACGGTCCCTGGGCCGGTGTTGGGCACGCGCCCCTCGTTGTTGCCCTCCTTGATGCGCACATTTTCCACACATCCGTCGAGTCTCGGAGGCCACACAACGCTTTCGATCCACGGGACGTAAGCTGACACCCTATGGACCGGCACAACCAATAGACATTACAATCATTGAAGTCCATGCCTTGGATTTGAGACCTTTGAAGCTTTGAAAATGAAAGGGTCTTCTCATCAAATACGCTTTTCTTAAGCAGTCCGGTCGTGGTAAGGGCGATTCAGTGCGTAGGGGGTCATTTCAGGTCACTGGGGCCTTGCGCCTGAACTGAGGTTGATTTGGTAGCTTGGGCAATTCAAATGTGTTTTACTAAACGAGGACCATGTCCTCATGTGGATAAGTCTATCTTACTTTTGTTTTTCTAGGTTTTGTAAGCTGCTAAAGTGTCGTTTTGTAAGTTCCGTCATGGTCACCAACACCTTTAAGACAACATAGCCATGCTGTGGTGTATGACTCAACCACATCAAAAGAAAACTGGCTATTTCACTCTCTTCCCTGACTTATTCTTCACAAAATTACGGAATTTGACCTTGAATTTGAGACCTTTGAAGCTTTGTATTTGCATCACTTGTTGAACCCGAAACAGCCTATGGGATAATGTCTACCGTGTGACCATGTGACCTATGCTGCTTTCACAACTGAAGGTCCACTAGGGTTCCTTCTCGTTTTAGGACCTCGCGACTTGGGATCGAAAGAACATCGAAAACGCTTCCAGAAGCTCGGGCCTGCGGGACCTGGGGCGGTCAAACGAAGAAACCAGGCCGTCCGAATTGTTCAAAACGGAAACGGTTAGGGTGTACGAATAGATGTAAATTCCGTTTCGGGCCGTAGCTAGGGAGAAAGTTGCCACGAACCTCGCTGAAAAACGCTATTTTGGATGCTCAAAATGACACTGCCAACAGTTTTTGCCTATCTTGAAACCCAGCGGGTCAGGAGACTAAACACTTCACTTTGTGAATTCCGTAATCTGTCAATTCCGTCATTATTTCTGGATCATTCCATACCAAGTCAACCAGAGCCGAAGCCTTGATGTCACCGATTTGGACCAAAGTTGGTGGATCGCCGTCAATTGGTGTTAAGATCAATGTCCTTAAATGGTTTTGGCCCATTTCCCATACTTCCGGAGATATAGCCACACCTCATTTTTGCCTATTTTGCAAAATGTAAAAACAGTGTTTCACTCAAGTGCCAATATCTTGGCTCCTATGAGACCTAGAGTGGTGATTCTGTTCTCATTCGAAAGGAAATGAAATTTCGCAAAAAATGGCGTCGGTTTGATGTCGATAGATGTAAAAATAGGAAATTTCACTGTAACGAAGAAATAGTGAACTTAACAGTGTAATTCCCACCGAACGCCATCTTCGATTTTTGCAATTTTTGTCCTCAAGGTATATTGAGGTCCCTACTTCATTGTCTCAAAGTATCTCAAGAAGTTCTTGGGTTTTGCGATTTTTGTAGGGGGGAAAGTAAAACAGTGCACCAAATAAATGGTGATTTTGCAATGTGGGACCCGAAGTAAGTGACATCAAAGGCAGCCAACCCTATTTATTGACCGCCTGCTTCGTGTACAGGCAGCGAGCGATATCTGAGGCCACACCCTGATGGGTCGAGCTACTTCACGCTCGACTTCTCGGTTCTTAAACATGACGAATGTGAATTTGGACTATATCATTCGGTTTATCTTGCCTTTATCTATCGATGAGGAGTAGGCAAAAAGTATCCCAAACACACTGGTGAGCGGCGGGCTGTTGCCTGCAACACTGTGGCAAAAAGCTACGGAAAATTCTGTAAACAGCTTGTGGTAATTCTCCGTTGCCCTCTTATCAATATTCTCCGTAGGCTCTTACAGTATTTTCTGTAGGACCGCACAGTATTCTCCGTAGGACCTTACAGTGATCTCCGTAGGACTATAAAGTCTTCCAGGTCCTACGGAGAAGACTGTGCGGACTTCCAGAGAATACTGTGCGGACTTACAGAGAATACTGTGCGGCCCTACGGAGAATACTGTAAGATCCTACGGAGAATGTTGATAAGAGGGCTACGGAGAATCTTGGCAAAAAAATTAACAGAATTTTCCGGAACTTTTTGCCACAGTGAAGGCAACTTCTTTCCACAGCTCCATTGCAAAACGGAAAATATATGGAAAATATGTGTCAATATATGACTCCATATATGTTTCATGCATTGTCAATATAATTGTATCTTGCTCAATATATTGCAAATTATCTTGCGCAATACGTGGTTTATATATGGGGGTATATCTAAGTGCCCGTTAATGTACAATGCAATATATTTCCCCATACACTGAAAATAGAAAGGTCATACTTTTGACCGCTTAAACGGTCTTACCGAAGTGTACGACCGAAAAACGGTCATACTTTATAGTGTATCACGGGTAAAGGCTGATATATTCCCAAGCTAAACAATAGCCAGTCTCGCTGATGTCTGACCTTTTCTTTGGCCATACATTTAAGCATATGACCGTTTTTCGGTCATACTTTTTGTATTACCGAAAATCGGTCAGATGTCTCACCCTTTGAATTTCAGTGTATAATATTATCTTCGTGAAATATATGTTTCAATATCTGACACAGTCCCCGTCGTGGGATAGGGTAGGGTGAGGAGGGCAGACTTTTTAAGTAAATTTTCTTAAAATCTTGGCACTGGATGTTGAAAGGCGGCTATATTTCTCAACATGAATATATATTGTAAAATATATTGACGCCATATATTGAGCAGGGCAAAGGTTCTTTTCTGCGTTTAAGTCTCCAAGAAATTTTGAGAAATCCTGTTGATTAAGTGAACTGGGACAGTTCGGAAATTTTAAACGTCTTTTCTGGGCGTAGCGCGAAAAGTTATTCTAGGCGACCACAGTAGGATCACAATTGGATGTCCTCGCAAGGCGAAGTTTACATTTTTTTTATAATAATAAAGGAAGGCTCTGAGTTGTCGGACTCCATGGTGTATTCTAACTATATATTGCCTACATATAGAGCAATGTATGAAATTTATATGTTTACCACATATTTTTATATCGGAAAAGTATCTTGCTAAATTATCGTTTCCACATATGACGTCAATACATGTTTGGCCATATATTTTGTCCATATACACTGAGATTCCAAACGCTATGAGTATAGCACGTATGGTGCAATGCAGCTGAGATATCGCACCACACGTGCAATACGATAGCCATATTGCACCTTACGTGCAATGCGTCCCGAAAATGCTCTACGCTAATGCATGGGAACAAGAAGGCATTGCACTTCATGTGCAATGCTTTTGCATTGCACCAATTGACGCTATACTCATAGCGTTTGGATTCTCAGTGTAGTGCCCATATATTTTCTATTTTGCAAGGGCTGTTGAGTAACTGCGTAGTATGCAAAAGGTGATGCAGCCAGCCGCACATCTGTGTCATATGTGACAAAAATTTCAAAAATCGAAGATGGCGTTCGGTGGGAATTACCTTGTTAAGGGGGGACCCTGGTGAAAGTTTCAAGTAGGCTTCAAAATAATCCCAGAAAGTTGAAACTTTGCTTAATTATGAGGTTCATTATGGTGAGTTCCCAAAACAAAATTCAATCCAAAATGTTGAACGGTCTCTGAGAAAAGTGGCTTTTTAGTGTTTTTTGGAGCGTTGGGGAAAAATCTTCCTGCGTCTTTCATTGGGACGGAAAGTCTTGAATTTTTTTTTGGGTTATCCTAAAGATGTATAGAAGAGATTTTAGTGACGGAATTTTCAAATTCAACTTCTGTCCTGAGATATGAGTTTTCAAATTTCAACATTTAAAAAAAGTGATTTTTTCCCCTTTTTTCAAACTTTAAGGTGTGTTTAAAAAAAAGTAGGGCTGATATCAAGATTCCGTCACTAAAATTTGTCGACAAGTCATCAATGAATAGAGTCCATGCAAGACGACTCATGTGGGTGCCAACCAGGAACGCAGGAAGTCTTTCTACGACAAAATTTTTTGTCGACTGAGCAAAGCTGTGAAGTTGAGCGTAGAAGCCAACAACAACTCATCTCAATGTTATTTCCTTCCAAATGATAAAGAAACTACCCACTTAGCTTAAAGGTGTTCAACCTGTTGAATTTGAAACCTTCTATGCACATTTTTATCTATGAACTTTGAAAATATTATTTTTTGGAATTTTGGCGATTTTTTCACCAGGGTCCCCCCTTAAGTTCACTATTTCTTCGTTACAGTGAAATTTCCTATTTTTACATCTATCGACACCAAACCGACGCCATTTTTGCGAAATTTAATTTCCTTTTCGAATGAGCACAGAATCACCACTCTAGGTCTCATAGGAGCCAAGCAAAATAGCCAAAAATGAGGTATGGCTTTATCTCCGGAGGTATGGGAAATTGGCCAAAACCATTTCAGGGCATTGATCTTAACCCTTAATGACGGCGATCCACCAACTTTGGTCCAAATCGAAGACATCATGGCTTTGGCTCTGGTTGACTTGGTATGGAATGACCCTTCTGTAAATTCCGCCGTATTTCATAGGGGGTGAAAATAAAAGTCAACTTGTAGCGTTGCCACGCCGGCGCCGACTGACCCAGTGCCGGGTGGCCTTGCTGAGCTGGCGATTCCTGCAGGGGCGGAGCTCGACCAGTTCGTGGCCCGCGAGCAGCGCCTCGATCCAACGCTGGAGCTGATCATCGACCAACTTTTTTGGCCCGCCCTTCTATTCAAAAAATAGGGGGAGGGCCTATGCATTTGCCTTTGTGTCTGTGTGTTGTTGTTGTTGTTGTTGTTGGCGTCTGTGTACAAGGAAGGAGTTGAGCTAGAGTAACCAGATTTGGAGGGTACTTTAGGAGTACCGTCCAAACAAATAATCCGGTGGTGCAAATCCCGTCCGGGTCGCACAAGGGCTGCTGCAGGTGCATCATGGTTTACATGAGCGGGGGGGGGGGATTTCCGCCATTATTGGTGCTAGCAGGGCACATAGGGGTATTTTTGGAATCGGGGCGACGAGACAAGATGAATGGACCTGGTCCCGACCCCATCGGCCGCTTTTACAAGTTGGCCAGATCAGGATCTTCAAAAAAGGGGGTCGACCGACCAAAAAAA